GGTTGTTAAATTAAGTTCGATGATTTTTGCTATTTTTATTTTTCGCCCCCCCCCCCCTGCCCTTTAGTTCGGCTTGCATCCCCACACTTCCAAACTCCGCGAGCTTTTGCCAGTCTCGACTCGAAGCAAACTAACTGTAATGCGCGCCTCAAGCACGTCTCTTCGTGGCGGGCTTGACATTGACAAATGCTTGCTAGACCTCCGCGATTTCGATTTTGCTCTCGAATCAACAACTCCGCAGTTCATGACTCACGCCACAGAGCGGCCTCTCCATCTCTTCAGGAACTCATCAATTAGAGCCAAATGTTGCGAAACCATACTGGTGACGCAGAGTGGTGCGTGGTAAAAATTGGCAGCTTATATGGAGAAAACTACGTTTGGAATTAGTGTTTCTTGTAATTCGAATAAAGATTCCCGAAATTTCATAAAATCTGGATACAAATACGAGGTTATATCATCATCGAAAGAACGACCGCATTTCTCAAATTCATTCGGGAAATAACTGAAGCTTAGCGCCTGCGAGACTCGGGGTAGGCAGTCCCGCAGAACACACATGCACTCGATAGAAGATATTGCCTACCCATCAGGCGCTATGCGGGAGCGGGCCGTATTACGAAACCAATTTCACGATATTGTCCGCAAAAAGTCTTCCCTCCTAGTTGATAAACAGATAAAATTGCGGGATAAACAGAGGACCCACCGCTCCTCTCAGGGCATGGAGTCCAAAGAGCGTGTTCAAAACACTTATTTAGATCGTTAAAGCCAGCGACGAGAAAGTAACGCGCCCTCGCTACTCTCGAGGGAATAATGCTAACTGTCGCGTTCGTTTTCGAGAGGGGGACGGTTTGCCGCCCGCACGAGGCGAGCCGCGCGCCCAGAGAAGTCGCGCAAATAATTATGCCCCGGGAATGAGAAAGTTCCCACACCCAATGGGCGCTGCACACGATGATGTTGCTATATCTAGCACTGTGGGCGGCCAAGATTGCGAAAGTTTACGCGGTGTTGTTGGAGCGTCATTAAGAGTTGTTACGGAGGAGTGGGGGAGGGCCCTGCACAGAGAGGACCGAACAGATACTCATCGCTAGCCGTGGGCCATCGGCCAGGAGGGGAGTAGAGTTGCCGTGTGCAAAATTTATAAGCGCTGGCGGCAGTCCAGGAGCCGCTCATCGACTGCACTCGGGGAGCGGTATGGGGGCGACTTCTCCCGCGAAAGCAAATTTCTTAAGAAAACCGCTTTCACAGCCATTCGTGGTGGATGCAACAAGGTGACCCCGACTTTCGACATTGCGACTGTGCCGGGCAGTGTGCGCACACAACGTGCTCGAAGATGTGTTGCGCATAAAATCGGTGGCGAGGGCGAGAGGCAGACGAAGGAGGCTCGGTTGGCCGAAGGGGGCGGCTGGATGCCTGGATTTCAATCCGACTCAATTCAGGTCACGTGGGTGGAAAAGGACGGGGCTGTAAAAGTTATACCATCGAGAGCCCTTTGACGATCCCGGTCGGTGAAAGGGGGACACACTGTGTACACACCGTCCCGAACCAGCGCGCCGGAACAGTCGTGGGGGAGGGGAGAAAAAAACGGGCACGAGCACAGTGGCGAGGACCCAGCGCGACGCAACGTGCTTGGCTGGGCGGGTGGCGGGTGCAAGAAAACAACCTGTAAAATGGTTTAAACGGGTGCTGCTTATCCTGGTAGTTTTTTCGTTAAGAATTTGTTTTGAATATAAGAATAAACATGTTAAAATTGCATGGTACAGCAGATCAAATTTGTTTTTATAATTTCTTTTCCAAAAGGGGAAGAATTGGTGGTACAACAGCCACCAAAGCACCAAAGCTTTGTTTGAAAAATTAATAAATCAATCGTTACGGAAAAACAACCGCAATTATTGGCTGAGCGATTAGCGAAGCCTATTACTCCAGTGATAATCAAAAAGTTTCGCGTCTGTCTGTCTGTCTGTGTGTCTGTTTGTCTGTCGTCACGATAACTCGAGAACGAATTAAGCTAGCGACCTGGGATTTTCAGGGTCGTTTTGTGTCATAAAAAGACAGATCGAGTTCGAAGATGAGCATTCTAGCTCAAAAATTGGATTTTAAAAAAATC